TTCATTTTGCTTAGAAAATGTAAATAAAATACCGACTTTTCAGGAGGCTGTTACGAAAATCTTTCAAAGAGCTTTGCAGTATTGTGATCCTAAAAAGGTCCACCTTGCCCTATTGGGAATGTATGAGAGAACCGAACAACAGAAATTGGCTGATGAGCTTCTTGACAAAATGTGTAGAAAGTTCAAGCATTCATGCAAGGTACAGAAATATTGTGTGATCTCGACCGACCAACGTTCTTGACTTACATACTTTTTTGGTGTTCTGAATTAACATTTATTTCCCTTTCCATACTCCTCAGGTCTGGCTGAGAAAAATCCAATCTCTTTTGAAAGAAAACAGTGATGCAGTTCAGTCCATTGTGAAGCGTGCTCTTCTGACTCTTCCCCGGCACAAGCATATAAAGTTTATTTCACAGACTGCCATCCTCGAGTTCAAGTGTGGAGTTCCAGATCGCGGGAGATCGATGTTTGAGGGGATGCTTCGGGAGTATCCTAAGAGGACTGATTTATGGAGCGTCTATTTAGACCAAGTAAATTTCTACTCTACCTTGTTTGCTTTTTTAATAAAGAAGAAAAATGTATAGAATAAGAGAAATTATGATCTCACACGGTGCAAAGGACTATTTCTTATCTTAAACTTGGTTGAAAATTAATAGGAGATCCGGTTTGGGGATGTGGACCTGATTCGTGCATTATTCGAGAGAGCAATAAGTTTGAGCCTTCCACCAAGGAAGATGAAGGTGCCTCCCCTACACATTACTTGGTTCATATCATCTACTTATTGCATTGTTGTTGTGGTTGTTGTAATGATCTGAAAAAATTGTGCTGCAGTTTTTATTCAAGAAGTATCTCGAGTATGAAAAGTCCATTGGCGACGAAGAACGCATCAAGTCGGTGATGAATAAGGCAATGGCTTATGCTGATAATACGCTTGCTTGATGCTATGTAATCACGCACGCACCTTTGGTTCCAAACAACACTGAGTACCCAACTGGAGGATATGTCATTCAAATTTTGACACAATTTTGTTGATTAGTGGCTTGAAAATGTGCCTCTCACAGGTACGCGTAGTATAGCTGTGTGTCTGTGGAGAAAAAAAATGTTTGAAAGGTGTTGTATCTGTTTGCAGCGCTTGTTTGTTCTTTCTTTATGATTTATACTACTAACTATGGGAAGACAATAAATAGACGGAGCTGAAATGTACGTACTCAGACTTGAGTTTTTTCTTGCAGTATGTATATTTCTCTATATTAAACTAATAAAGGGTGTGAACTGCCGAACCAAATGTATTGACAATTTGACGGACTATTTTTCGAATGTGTTGTGTTGGACGCGGATTAAATTAAATTAAATTCAATTAGCCCCCAAGAGAGTGACTATCATTTTCACAAATTACCAAAAAAAAAAAAAAAATGAAAATAAAGATATAGCGATCGAAAAAAAAATTGTTACGATGAAGGAATATAATTTATATGAATTGAAGCGCCTCAACTCCCAGTTGGTGACTGGTCGGTGGACGGCTTAGTTGATTCATACCTTCTTCTTTTCCAGAAAAAATGACGCTCCTTGACCATCTTCATATACATTTTACAATAAAACTCTTGGTCACTATTTAGACAATTATACTCCGTTCCATTTTCATTATACCATTTTTTTCAAATTTTTAATTATTTATCTTGTAACAGGTGTTTCAATTTTTTTTTTTTTTTT